ATGGCATGATATATCATACCTCGAACGGGACTTGCTGCAGGCATTCAAATGAGCCAGGTCCCGACGTGCACCCAACCGCCTCGGTCAACAGCGCATAGGGCTTGCCTGGCTCATCGTACGTACTAGCGGGAGGAGCTGTCTTGCTATACGTGTGTCAATCCACATCCCAGCGCTTGAAGGAAGACATGACTGACAAAGGTCCGGTAGACGAGTCAAAGATCGCAGCCCGGAAGTGTGATTGCTTGGCAGGGAAAACGATTTGTGCCTCTGCACTACCGGCTCCGGCAGATTGACCCCAGATTGTCACTTTGTTCGGATCACCACCGAAAGCTGCGACGTTGTCTTGTAAGAAAGCGAGGGCTAGTCGCTGGTCCTGCAATCCAGCGTCCAAGTCCTCTATGGGTACATGAGAGCTGGCCAGCTGCAACAATGCTCAGCACAATATTAGCTTATATGAAAGAAAGGACGACTGACGAAACCGAAGGTGTTGACTCGATAGTTGCTGATGGTGTCAATTCAGTGAGCCGAGATGGAACGATGAGATGGCGTCTGTACTTACATCGAGACGAAGACGATTGGTTTAGAGATGTTAGCACTGCGATTAACGATGCCTACCGCGAGCGTCAAAGGAGGAGCGAATTATGGACGCGACTGCTTACGCGTTGGGTCATACGAAGGGTTGGAGGCGGCTCTGGAAACACGGTCAGCTGCCATCTTTCTGCTTATTAATAAGGCTCCTACCCGTTCATAAATGCGCCGCCCTAAATGCATGCAGCCTGAAAATGGATGTTGAACGTCGAACCTCAGTAAAAGAGGCTTACGTAGAACCAGACAAGTACAGGCAGCTTCGCATCAGCTTTCGTCCCTGCCGGCCTCCACACCTGCCAAAAGGTCGAGTGATGTTGGGATGTATACAGCGGAAACGTACATTGAGAAACAGGCAATCCTCGCCGAGCGGAGCACCTAAGGTGTCTGATGGTACTTGCGGGCACGCATTACCAAACTGGCTAGCATCTTGCACCGAGTGCGAGGGCTTCGTAAGGGCAACAGGACTCTTGAAGCGCAGGTTACCGACCGGTGGCTGGGCGAAGGGAATGCCGAGCCATTGGTCAGTATTATTGGGAGAGCTTGCAGTGGACCCTTGGAATGTTCCAGAGGAGACTTTCACGACCAGTGACGCGTCCGGCGTCGCAGTAGCGACGGCGACCGTGGGCAGCGCCGCGAGTACGAGACCAAACAGGACAAGGGCCAGCATTGGTAGCTTCAAGTTCGCGACAATGAACGGTCCGCGACGAGCAATAGAGTCCTATCGCTGCAGAGACGTGCATGGGTTCATATAGTAGGCCCTCTGCTAAAACGTATGGCCGACCACAGGCTTCTCTTCACCAGACGTCTGGGTCTGAAGCCATAAGGGGGCTGGTTCAATTACGTCTACAAGTCATGAGAGTCAGCTGAATGGGAGAACGACTATCGCATTAGGCGACACTCCGAGCCTACGCACAAAAATAAACCTACGTACGTTCTCGATGGATGCGGTCTGTGAGAGCAGGATAATCTGGCTATGCACGTGCCTAGATCATGAGAACCTCGGAAAAACTTGAGCATTAGATAGAATAAAGAAGTGGGACGAACAGCAGATAGTCATTACCATTCGTTGGCTTTCTGTTGCGGTGTAGGCAGACCATTCTTTCCTGCAGGGAAGTTGACAGAAGAAATTAATGTGATCGGTTATAGCGTCGTGGAAGCGGGACCAATCGCATCGCGTTTCTCGCAGGCGGAGTTTGATCGCGTCTTCTACATTATCCTCTCGCGGCATTTCGTTAGACAACCTCGCTCATTGCGGCCAGTATCCTCAGCAAATTGCACAATACAACCCCATTGGCCTGTAACCACACGTGTGTGCAAACTTGATATTGTCGCAAGCATTCAACTTTGGTCTCGTCATCGGCTGTATCTCGCCCCGATAAGGTTCCTAGCGATCACATGACAAAAGGACGAATCGTTCTACGATATCACGAACCTAGTGCACACCCTGTTGCTCTTCTGTCTTTTTAGCGTGCGGCTTCTGCTTAACTGCGGAAGGTTCAATGCTGTAATTGCTGCTCTGTATTAGGTTGAATAGCCTCAAAGATTTGTTGCACATGAAGTCGTCAATATGGTCTGTTTTCTTCCTCTGCTTGCAAACCGTCCGCGCGTACAGCATTATCATTTCTGCATCTGTGCGAGTACAGCCGGTGAGTCTTGAAAGTTTGTCTTGCTGATCAGGAAGTCTGCCGGGCAATTAGCCTCGTAAACTGATAGGATACAAACTGGGACGTACCGTCCGGTATGACAGTGATATTATCGCGCTGGAGCTGCAAGACTTGCTTGGTCTCCAGAGTGTATTGCGGCCACGGAGCTAGAGGGTAGCGAGCGGTCAATGGGCGGGCCGAGAGGCAGCGACAGTAGATCACGCACCACCCGGGCTGAGGTCATTCACGAAGTTGATGTAGAAATCCGTCATCTGATTCGCAAAGTCGTCCTCTATGGGATTGGGCACGGGTCCGAAGAGGAGCGCCAGCTCGGAGCTATGGAACACTGTAACCGTATATTCAGACGTCTGTCACTCATTCGCAGTAAGATAGCAGGTGGGCTTACCTCCGAGCGTGAGGTTGTTACCGGGGATGAACTCCGTGAAGAAGTACGCGAAGAGCGGCTGGAGGGGTGCAGCCTTCTCGAACAGGAGCCGACGCGCCGAGAGGTACATGTTATCGCTGTACCACGCCTCGGCGCGGTCAAAGAGGCTATCACCCGTGTTGTACGCGCCACCGAGCGAGGAGTCGTTGGCGGGATAGAGCGTGTGTAGCGTATCGAAAGTGCTGTTTGTCACCGTCGACGGGTCGATGAGCAGATTGCGCACGAAGGCGTCAAACACAGCATTCTCTTCCGACGGCGGCACGGAGAGACCGAGGAGGGACTCGCTGTAGGTCGCGCCTTCGTTAAGCTACGCGGATAGCTTTAGTGCATACATTGTGTCAAGAAATGGCATGCTTACGTTAGTGCCCGCCAGAATGGGGACGTGCAGAAAGTTGCCGCTTGCGATCTGTACAGAAGGGCGTGTTGAAATGAAGCTCCCCGGAGGGCCTACCGCAGGCTGCCACAGCTGTCCATTAAGGACTTGATTTGTTAGAATGTTCGTGGCGTTGAGCAAAGTCTGTAATGTTCCAATCAGACTTTTCTCAGTAGATTTCCAGCGTCACAGGTCATACCTCGAATGGGACTTGCTGCAGGCATTCAAATGAGCCAGGTCCCGACGTGCACCCAACTGCTTCCGTCAACAGCGCATAGGGCTTGCCTGGTTCATCGTACGTACTGGCGGGAGGAGCTGTCTTGCTATATGCGCGTGTCAACCCAAATCTCACCGCTCGAAGGAAAACATGACTGACAAAGGTCCGGTAGACGAGTCAAAAATCGCAGCTCTAAAATGTGATTCCTTGGCAGGGAAGAGGATCTGCGCCTCTGCACTCCCAGCTCCGGCGGATTGACCCCAGATTGTCACTTTGTTCGGATCACCACCGAAAGCTGCGACATTGTCTTGTAAGAAAGTGAGGGCTAGTCGCTGGTCCTGCAACCCGACGTTCAAGTCCTCTATAGGTACGTAAGAGCTAGCCAGCTGGAGCAATATTAGAGCTCAGCACGATATGACCCGGCATAGGAAAAAAAGGCGACTGACAAAACCGAATGTATTGACTCGATAGTTGCTGATGGCGAAAACTCAGCGAGCATAGAATACTGTCACAACGTCCGCACTTACACTGAGACGAAGACGATTGGTTTTGAGATGTTAGTACTGCGGTTAATGATGCCTACCGCGAGCGTCAAAGGAGGAACGAGATAGATGGACGCAGCTGCTTACGCGTTGGGTCGTATGAAGGGTTGGAGGCAGCTCTAGCACAAGGTCAGTTGCCACCCCTCGGCTTATGAAAGGGCGCCTACCCGTTCATAAATGCTCCACCCTAAATGCACACAATCTGAGAATGGATGTGAACCTCAGTAAGGAAGAGGCTTACGTAGAACCAGACAAGTACAGGCAGCTTCGCATCAGCTTTCGTCCCTGCCGGCCTCCACACCTGCCAAAATGTCAAGTGATGTTGGGATGTATACAGCGGAAACGTACATTGAGAAACAGGCAATCCTCGCCGAGCGGAGCACCTAAGGTGTCTGATGGTACTTGCGGGCACGCATTACCAAACTGGCTAGCATCTTGTATCGAGTGCGAGGGCTTCGTAAGGGCAACAGGACTCTTGAAGCGCAGGTTCCCGACCGGTGGCTGGGCGAAGGGAATGCCGAGCCATTTGTCAGTATTATTGGGAGAGCCTGCAGTGGATCCCCGGAATGTTCCAGAGGAGACTTTCACGACCAGCGAAGCGTTCGGCGTCGCAGTAGCCAAAACGGTCGCGAGTAGCACCGCAAGCGCAAGACCCAGCAAGACACAGGCCAACATTGGTAGTTTTGCGACAGTGAATGGTCTGCGATGAGCTCTATCGCGACAGAAACATGCATGGTTCATATACCCGGCCCTGCGGCCGACCATAAGCTTCTCTTGACTAGGCGGTTGGGCCTAAGCCATAAGAGGGCCAACTCTATTACGTCTACAGGTCATGAGAGTCAGCTCAATGGGAGAACAGGCGTCTCATTAAGCGACACTCCGAGTCTACGCACAGAAATGAATTTGCATAAGTACTTTCTCGATGAATGCGGTCTGTGAGAGCTGGATGAGTTGGCCATGCTCGCGTTTAACTGAGAGTCTCGGAAGAGCGTGTGCATTGAGGAGGATGGAGAGTTGAACATATCACGCCTTGGCTTTTTGCTTCGGCGTGAACAGACCGTTTATTCTTGACAGCGGAGATTACATAACATGATCGGTTGAGCGTCGTGATCGCGGGGCGGAGTTTTGTCGCGTCTTCAACGAGCATCCGCCTGCGTCCGTGTACAAGCCTGACACCCTCCCATCTCGACTCCGTCACAAGCATTCGTCCCTGTCTGTATCTCTCCTCCGATATCGATACTATTTTCCCTCACGATCAAGTACTTGTTGCATATGTAACCACTGGCACCAACAAAGTCTTTTTCTTTTTCTTCCTAGTACCGTTCGCGCATACAGCATGACAAATACCTCTGCATCATCATTTCTGCATCTGTGCGAGTACAGCGGGCGAGTCGTCAAAGTTTGTCTTGCTGATCAGGAAATCTGCCGAGGAGTCAGCCTCCTAAACAAACAGAACACGCACTGCCGCGCACCGTCCGGGATAACTGTGATATTGTCGCGCTGGAGCTGCAGGACTTGCTTGGTCTCCAGAGTGTATTTCGGCCACGGGGCTAGAAGGTAGCGAGTGGTCAGTGAGCAGGCCGAGAGGCAGCGACAGAGGGTCGCGCACCGCCCGGGCTGAGGTCATTCACGAAGTTGATGTAGAAATCCGTCATCTGATTCGCAAAGTCGTCCTCTATGGCATCGGGCACCGGACCGAAGAGGAGCGCCAGCTCGGAGCTGTGGAACACTGTACTCGTACACTCAGACGTCTGTTGCGCACCCATGATGATATGTGGGCCTACCTCCGAGCGTGCGGTTGTTTCCGGGGATGAACTCCGTGAAGAAGTACGCGAAGAGCGGCTGGAAGGGCGCGGCCTTCTCGAACAGAAGCCGACGCGCCGAGAGGTACATGTTATCGCTGTACCATGCTTCGCCGCGGTCAAAGAGGCTGTCACCCGTGTTGAAAGCGCCGCCGAGCGAGGAGTCGTTCGCGGGGTAGAGCGTATGTAGCACATCGAAAGTGCTGTTTGTCACTTTTGACGGGTCGATGAGTAGGTTGCGCACGAAGGTGTCGAATGCAGCGTCCTCCTCGGATGGTGGAATGGAGAGGCCCAGGAGGGATTCGCTGAAGATAGTGCCTTCGTTGAGCTACGTGAAGAGTGTTATTGAGTTTGTTTTTGCTAGGGAATGACATGCTTACGTTTGTACCCGCCAAAATAGGTACGTGCAGGAAGTTGCCACTCGCGATCTGTACGGAAGGGCGTGCTGAAATGAAGCTCCCCGGAGGGCCCACTGCAGGCTGCCACAGCTGTCCATTAAGACGTTGACCTATCAGAGTGTTCGAGGCGTTGAGCAAAGTCTATAATGCTTTTGTCAGATTTTCCTCAGTAGATTTCCCATGGCACGAGTCATACCTCGAACGGGACTTGCTGCAGGCATTCAAATGAGCCAGGTCCCGACGTGCACCCAACTGCCTCGGTCAACAGCGCATAGGGCTTGCCTGGCTCATCGTACGTACTAGCGGGAGGAGCTGTCTTGCTATACATGTGTCAG